TGTGTGTGTGTGTACACTGCCCGTGCTGGCATGGTGTGGGAACGGGGGCACTGAGCCGTTGGCGATGGCAGCCCCAGCCCCGGGTCCTGCGTCTGGGAACGTCAGCAATGTTTCCCTCTTGCCAAGAACAGGTGGGCTGGGCAGTGCTTGCCTGCCAGCCCTGATCGCCCCCCGCAGGGACCTCAGACTTCCGCCTGCCCCAGGGGCAGACGGGCCCAGGGCTGGGCCACCCCCCAGCCAGCCCTTGGAAACCCCCTTTCCAGTGTGTGTGTGAAATCCCGGCCCGTGCTTCTTAGAAATCGGTAGTGCAGGGGTCGGGGCGGGCAAGGGCGCTGGCTGGCGAATGGCAGTGCAGCAGGCAGAGCTGCCAGCCATTCATACGCCAGCTGAGGTAGCGGGGGTGGCGGGTGTGGGGGAAGCCTTTGAAGATGCAAAGGAGCCAAGATCTGAGGATGCATCTGTGCCCCTGAGCTGCACCGGTGCCAGCATCCCCCCAGGCTGGGGGCTTCCACTCAGCTCTCCAGAGACCTTCCCTGGCGGCTTGGTATGTTGCTGTCCCCCTCTTCCCCCTGCTCTTGAGATCAGTTCCTGGGGAGGGGAAGGGAAAGGCTGGGGCAGGTGGCTGTACAGGACCCCTTCCCCCTGCCCCAAACCATGCATGCTGCCTAAGGGGCAGGGGTCTGGGTGGGGCAGACATGGGGGATTGCCTGGTGGAGCAGGGGGAGGGAGTGGGGGGGGGCGGTGAACAGTGAACCCCTCCCTGCCAAATGCCCCCTCCCCCAGGGCTCCACAAGTAAATAAACTGCAGGGGGTGCAAATTGGGGGGGGGGGGGTCTGAGTGGGAGATGAGGGCACATGTGTTATACCGGGGGTGGGGGATGGGAGGGTAAATAGAGGTAGGGGTTGCTACATTCACCCCCCCCCCAGCTGTCTTGGGGCCACAGAGGTGGTTCCCCAACTCACACAGACATAGGGGGCAGAGGCTGAGCTGAGCCAGCTGTTTGCCCCCCAACTTCTCCCAGAGCCGGCACCAAGCCCACCCCATCCTCCTCCCAGGGCCCTGCCAATGTGCAGGGCCCAGGGTTCCATCCCCAGCCCCTTTCCAGATGCCAGCATGCCCTTTACACGCACAACCCTCGCAGCACATGCGTCCCCCACAGTACACAGGCTCCCTCCCCCACATCATTGTTACACGCCATCCCCTTTGACAGACACACCACGTTTCACACCCAGTCCCCGTGCAGCTCCAACACCCACAGCCATGCAACCCTGCCACACACACTGGGGAGGCTGCTCAGCCAGAGATCCCCAACCACTGGACGAGGGTAGGTTGGAACCATTATCCCCTGTGCTGCGGATGGGGAAACTGAGGCACCGAGCGGGGAAGTGACTTGGCTAAGGGCAGCGGCAAAGCCAGGAATAGAACCCAGGCTATCTGACTCATAACCCCCCCCCCCCCCACGGCAAACATTTTCCCTTCCCAGGAACAGAACCCAGCTCCCACCACCACCCCCGCTCTGACCTCTAGACCCCAATTCCCTCCAGGAGCTGAGGACAGAACCCAAGCATCCTGATTCACAATTCCTCCCCCAACCCTAGTCCCCTCCCTGAGCCAGGAACAGAACCCAGGAGTCCTGATTCCCCAGCCCCCCCTGCTCTAACCCCTAGACCCCACTCCCCTCCCCTCCCTGAGGCTAGAACTCAGGATACCTGGCTCCCAGGCCAGTGCATTGTCTATTGGACCGCCCTGCTTCACACAGATACCCCCCGGTCCCCATAAAACCTGCCAGCAGCATGTGCCACCCTGGCCCCCCATTGGGGACAGTGCTCCCTAGTGCACACAGCGCCCCCCAGAGGCCGCCAGCCACAATTCTGCTCCCGCTGAGGGAGATCCCCCACTCGCTGTGCGGCAGGATGGGGCTCCCTCCCCCACAGCCGCACGGCCAGCTGCCACGTGCGCCGTTCACCGCGTGGGGCACGTGTTCCGTGCTCGGGCTGCCAAGGCAGAAAGCCGGGCCCCAGGGAAGTGTCATGGGCTGGGAAAGGAGATGGTCGCACCGCAGCCTGCCTCGGCCGCCCTTAAAGAGCCAGGGCCTGCGTGCTGGAAGCCGGGTGTGTGCGGGGTGGGGGCGAGGTTGTGCAGTGGCCCGTTGGCGACATGCACGGGCATGCTGAAGTGGGAGGCCTTGGGAACGCCAGAAGCACGTGGGCTGTTGAGGTCCTGGGCCAGGGTTTGTTGTGTTCAGTGTCGGCCGATGGGCTCGTCCCACGACAGCCAATGGGCAAAACCCTGGGAGAGCTTTTAAAAAAAGATAGTTACGTATTTGTATCACAGTAGCATGTACAAGCCCCAGTCATGGCCCAGGCCCCCATGGCGCTAGGAGCTGTACATTTGTATTGCTATTAGGTATATGACAGTAGTGCTTAGAAGCCCCGGTCATCTGCTAGGCCCCCCCACCCCATCGCACTAGGAGCTGTACATTCGTATTGCTATTAGGTGCATTATGGTAGCGCGTAGACACCCTGGTCATGTGCTAGGCCCCCACCCCCATGTCACTAGGTGCCGTAATTTGTATTGCTCTTAGGTGTATTACAGTAGCGCCCAGGGGCTGCAGTGTGCCAGGCGCTGTACAAGCAGAGAACAATGATCTGGTGTTTTCTCACCTGTCTGCTCGTTGGTTCCCCCCACCATGTGTGAGAATGACCGTGAGGCCGGCTCCCTCTCATGAATCACGAAGAACGAGGACTCAGTGCATGTGCGTGTGCATCCCGCATATGTCCTGCCAGGAGTGGTAGATACGCTGGAAGGCAGGGACAGGATACAGAGGGACCTAGACGAATTAGAGGATTGGGCCAAAAGAAATCTGATGAGATTCAACAAGGACAAGTGCAGAGTCCTGCACTTAGGAGGGAAGAATCCCATGCACTGCTACAGACTAGGGACCAAATGGCTAGGCAGCAGTTCTGCAGAAAAGGACCAAGGGCAGAGGTGGGCAAACTACGGCCCATGGGCCACATCCAGCCTGCAGGACCCTCCTGCCCGGCCCCTGAGCTCCTGGCCCGGGAGGCTAGCCCCCAGCCCCTCCCCTGGTGTTCCCTCTCCCGCACGGCCTCAATGCACTGCACCGCCGGGCCAAGGCTCTGGGCGGCCGGGCAGGGCAGTTGCAGAGCCGTGGCCTGAGCCGGTGCTCTGGGTGGCACGGATGTACCGCCGCCAGCTATCGGTGTGCCAGGCAGCGCGGTAAGGGGGCGGGAGGGTTGGATAGAGGACAGGGGAGTTCGGGGGTGTGGTTAGGGGTGTGGAGAGGGATCAGGGCGGTCAGAGGGCAGGGAACAGGGGGTTGGATGGGGCAGGGGTCCCTGGGGGGCAGTCAGGAATGAGAGGGGGGGTTGGATGGGGCGGCAGGGGGCAGTCAGGGGTGGGAGGTCCTGGGACAGGGAGCAGGGGGTGGTGGATAGGGTAGGAGTCTCGGGGGGCAGGGAACAGGGGGGTTGCATGGTGCAGAAGTCCTGGGGGAGTCGGCAGGGGGCAAGAAGCGGGGGGGTTGGATAGGAGGTGGGGGCCAGGCCACGCCTGACTGTCTGGGGAGACGCAGCCTCCCCTAATGTTCCCTCCATACAATTTTGGAAACCCGAGGTGGCCCTCAGGCCAAAAAGTTTGCCCGCCCCGATCTAGGGGTTACAGTGGCCGAGAAGCTGGATATGAGTTACCAGTGTGCCCTTGTTGCCAAGAAGGCCAATGGCATTTTGGGATGTATAATTAGGGGCATTGCCAGCAGATGGAGGGACGTGATTGTTCCCCTCTATCCGCCATTGGTGAGGCCTCATCTGGAGTACTGTGTCCAGTTTTGGGCCCCACACTACAAGAAGGATGTGGAAAAATTGGAAAGAGTCCAGCGGAGGGCAACAAAAATGATGAGGGGACTGGAACACATGACTTATGAGGAGAGGCTGAGGGAAATGGGCTTGTTTAGTCTGCAGAAGAGAAGAGTGAGGGGGGATTTGATAGCTGCTTTCAACTACCTGAAGGGGCGCTCCAAAGAGGATGGAGCTCAGCTGTTCTCAGTGGTGGCAGACGACAGAACAAGGAGCAATGGTCTCAAGTTGCAGGGGGGGAGGTCTAGGTTAGATATTAGGAAACAGTATTTCACTAGGAGGGTGGTGAAGCACTGGAACGGGTTCCCTAGGGAGGTGGTGTCGCTTCTGTACCCGCCTGCCCCACATCAGTTAATTTTCTGTTCCCAGCCCTAACTTCTGCCCCAGCCCATCTCAGTTCTTCCTCCCAGCCCCACATCTGTCCCTTGTCCCCCAGACCCATGTCAATTCTGCCCCCTCGCCCCACATCTGCCCCTCGCCCCTCAGACCCATGTCAATTCTGCCCCCAACCCCACTTCTGCCCCTTGCCCCTCAGACCCATGTCAATTCTGTCCCCAACCCCACTTCTGCCCCTTGTCCACAGGCCCATGTCAATTCTGCCCCCTAGCCCCACATCTTCCCCTTGCCCCAAGACCCACCTCAATTCTGCCCCCCAGACCCATGTATAATTCTGCCTCTCCAGCCCCACATCTGTACCCAGCCGCACCTCTGCTCCTTCTACAACTGTGGATGCTGTTCCCCGCCCCGGGCCTGTGGGGAAGGGCAGCTCCAGCAGGGCCACCTTACTGCAGAGATGGCAGGGGAAGGGGGGAGCAGGGTCACCCACAGACTCCTCTCCTCCCTCCCCTCCCCACAAAATCCTGTAGGTATGTGCCGGGGGGGGGGGAGAGGGGAGGAGCCTCTGCCGGCCTTCTGCAACTCTGATTGGCTGCTCTCCCCCCAAGGAGGTGAAGCAAGTGGGAAAGGACAGCCAGTCAGCCGGTGTGTGTGCTGCCTCCTGCTGGCGGGGACGAGCCCTGCTCCCTGTGTAAGGGGCGCGTGTGCTCTGAAGACACAGTTGATTCGGGGGGTTGGGGAAGTTCCTCACTGCTACTAAGCCCCGCTCTCTCTTTGCAGCGCCCCCCCGCAGCACCATGCTGAATGCCAGCGCCCCCTGCCCGTCCAACGCCTCGCGCTGCGGGGTGGATTTCCAGGCTGGCCAGGAGCTGGTGGTCTCTCTCTACGGTGCCGTCTTCCTGCTGGGCCTGGCCACCAACGCGCTGACCCTGTGGCCCATCGTGCAGCAGGTGCGGCTGGGCAACGTGCTGGCCGTCTACCTGCTGGGCCTGGCCGCCTCCGACATGCTGTACCTGCTCACCCTGCCGCTGTGGATGCTCTACGTGTGGCGCGGGCACCGGTGGACCCTGAGCAGCCTGGCCTGCCACGCCGCCGGCTTCGTCTTCTACTCCAACATGTACGTCAGCGTCCTGCTCCTCTGCCTCATCTCCCTGGAGCGCTACCTGGCCGTGGCGCACCCTCTCCGCTCCCTGGGGCTGCGGAGCCGCCGTTCGGCCGCCGTCGCCAGCGCCGTGGTGGCCCTGCTGGTTTTCACCTTCCACATGGGCATCGCCCTGCGCTCCCCGGAGCCGGCCAACGCCTCCTGCTACGACAGCTACCCGCTGCAGCCCGGCGTGGCCAGGTTCAACTACTTCCGGGTGGCTGGCGGCTTCGCGCTGCCCTTGCTGGTCCTGGGGGTCTCCTACCTCAAGATCTTCCAGGGGGTGCGGGCCAGCAACACCCTGCTGGACTGGCAGAAGGCCAAGGTGAAGCGTCTCTCGATGGGCGTCATCGCCATCTTCCTGCTCTGCTTCGCCCCCTACCACCTGCTGCTGCTGCTGCGGACAGTGGCCTCCGCAGTGCTAGATAGCTGCTCCCTCTGCTCCTTCGAGCAGCGGCTCCACCTGCCCTTCTCCCTGGCCCTGGCCCTGTCCAGCCTCAACAGCGCCCTGGACCCCATCCTCTACGCCCTGGTGAGCGACAGCATCAAGGGGGACCTACGGAAGGTGTTCGGCTGCGTGGCGCGTGCCCCGGCATCCGGAACAATCACCTCTCTGGCCTTGTGACCGGGGCTGGCATGGCACCGACCGAGGGAAACTGGACCGGGGATGTCCGATGGCACCAGAAGGGGGAGCTACGTGCTTAGGAACATCGGCCTCGCCCATGGGAGAAAGCCTGCAGCGCCATGCCCGATGGCACCAAGAGACGCAGCTGGATCCATGGGCGGATGCCAAAGACTGGAGGGGTGGGGTCTGGGGCCCAGCAATGGCTAAGGGGGTGGATTAGGTGGCTTGCCAATGAGGCTGCATAGACGGGGGCATTGTGGGAAGGGGACAGCCCTGCCTGGGAGCTTGCGCTCAGCGGCTGAGCGGTCGCTCTGTCGCTGGGATCCCAGGCACTGCATGGGGTTTGTGGGGAGCGAGGAACTGAGAACTCTGCCGAGAACAGGGTACAGGACAGGAGGTGCTCCAAAGAGGGCAAAGGATTATTTAGCAGGAGCAACGAGGGGCAATAAAGACAGGGCGGGTACAGGAGGATGTGATTCCCTAACAGCGAGGCTGGGGTATCCTCTCTGCCGGGGATGGAGCCCATCTCATCGGGGGCTTAAATTGAGGGGCCCATGATGTTGAGAAGAGGGCGTCTCCCCCCAGCAAGGGATAAACGGGTAACAATCCCTCATTCACTGTCCCAACACTAAAGTGTGGTCTGGGGCTGGACATCAAGTTTTGTAGGTGACTTTCACTGCAACAACCACTGATGAGCATCCTTTAAACCTTTTCTTACAAGGACCCTGAAAAAGACGGGAAAACAGTCCAAGTCCTAAAGGAGGCTTCTCTTTTAACGAGGTCTCAGTGTCTGTAGCAATAGAAGGTTGTTATAGGTAACAGCCTCTGTTTGACAGTCTATTAAATAACATGAAAAGGGGGATGAACTATTCTTATTGGGGGGGGGGTGGGAAATACAAGGGATTTCTGATGGTCTGAAGCCGCTGGTGGAGTCCGATTCTGCCTCCTTTGAGACAAACACCCATGAAAGGGGAGGGAAAAGAACAACCAAGACAGGAAACGCCAAGTCTGTCGCTGGTGCCATCTCTCTCCTGCAGCCTCCTTGCTGGAGAAACACAGGCCCAGCCCATGGGCTGATCAGCCGCTCTGAGACCTGGCAAATTTGTAGCAGCGTTGGGGCTGTTTAGGGCCCTGCTTTCAGCGGCCTCTTTGGTCGCAGGCTTGCAAAAGCTAGAGTTGCATTGGGTGGTGGAGCCGGACGCTGATTAGACAGCTGGCAAAAGGAGGGAGGAGGAAAGAGGGCAAGGAAACTGACACATGGGTGGTGGTGGTGGTGGGAGGGGGCAGCAGGGAGCAAGTCTCCGGCCCCTGGTGTGCCGGGTTTGGCCAAAGCAGCTGGAGAATGATGAATTCACACTGGAGCAGGTGCAGAGAAAGGCTGCTAGGCTGATCATCATGGCTCAAAGTGCTGATCTCATCAGAGGAGTCTGACAGAGCGGGGCTTGTTTTGTCTAAACCCCAGGCTGCGGGGTGGGGGTGGGGGGTCCGATTGCCAGGGCGGGGTGTCCCTGGGGAGGGAGAAAAGCTAGTGAAGCTAAGGAGAATGTTGGCACCAAATGGGGAGAAACTGATCAGCTCAGGCTGGTTTTTCTCAGGAGAGGAGGGAGGGTCTGGGGCAGTCTCCCAACTGGAGCCGCGGCAGGACAGACAACCATCATCCGCAAAATGGCAAAACCATCCGGGGTCCTCTCTTTGGCCAGGTCTGTTAGGAGGGCTGCCAGGACCAAGGTAAGAAAGGCCCAGTGGTGCCCGGGACATGGTGGAGGTGGCAGCTGTGATATAAACATGCTCTGCGCCAGGCTGGCAAACCTCTCTGGCCAACTGACGCGCATCCTGGTGACTTCAGACATTTCCTCCCATTTCTAGACTCTTTCAGCCCGTTGCCATGCCGACCCCTGACAGTCCCAGGGGCCCTGCAGCCCCCTTAGCCACACGTCTTTTAACTTCAACGATCCACCCCGGATCTGCCCATTTGTTGCCAGCTTTTCGGACTCGGTTCCCGGATCAGGCTGACAATCCAGGTGTCTTGACAGCGGGCCCTGGAACGCTGGCCGATGGGACTGCCTCAGCTGTGTATGCCGGCGCTGAGATGCTGCTCACGGCACTCTGGGCCATACAAACTGCAGGGTGAGTGCCCAGCTGATGAATAAAGACCAAGATCCTGAGCCTTGTCCTTTCTACTCACCCATGGGACCCACTAGGAGATTCCCCCTCACCACACACACGTCAGATCCATGAGCAAACTCTGTCAGGTCCAAGACACAGGAAAGATTTGGATCCACCGGGACGCGAGGGGACGGAAGTGTGGGGAGCCGCAGGGTTTGCCTGGCTATGAAATTGGTTTCAGGTGGTGTCGGTGCCCCCCGGGTTGTTACTGATGTGAGCTAGGGGAGATCAATGGGCCCCAGACCAGGGTCGCATCGGGCCCTGTCGCGCTGGGCACTGCATAGGCCCAGAATGAAAACACGGTTCCATGCCCTGAAAGGTTCACAGGGCATGTCTGTGAGTCGCAGGTGTAATTTCTGGCTGGAGGAGGCGTACTGAGCAAGCTGGCCCGCTAAAAAACCCCATGGTGTTGTCGTGGCTTCCCGGGCGGTGAGATAGGCAAGTACAATCCTGGCCGAGATGCTAGCTGTGTATTCCAGCAGCTCCCGCTCCCGCCGCAGTGGCCAACCTGCTATTTTTAGCGCCCTAACTCAAGCAGCGCTTGCGTATGTCTGCTCCTCCCAGCTCCAGTGTGAATGTACACCCCCTCCCGCGATGGACTAGGGACCGGTGACGGTGTTCCCGTCCCAGGAAAATAGTCAAGGTTCTGGGAAATTTCCCCGTCTCGAACGGAGATGGAGAGTTCAAATCTCGAAAACCTTCGGGACATGAACAGTCAACGTTGGTTTGGGTTCAGGTCGCTGGAAACATTTCGTTTTTGAACTTTCTTCATTTCGGTTGAAACGACAATTAGCCTCAATCGCTGCCAGAAAAGGCCTTTCAAGCCAGGAAACTGCAATGTGCCACTCAGATGACAGCAAGATGGGACATTTTGACAATTTTATAAACTTTTTTCCACCTTTTCAAGTCAAGAAATTCCCCAGAATCGACCCGGCCCTGCAAACAGTTCTGGTTTTTGATTAATCGAATTTTTTGGATGGGAAAAGTCTCATTGAAAATTCCCTGACTTATCAACAGGTCAGGGACATGCCTATACCGTGCTAACGTATCACATGCACTGACCCCTACGGAGCATCCCCCTCTAGTGGCAAGGTGCCTGCTCGCGGTTTGTGACTTGGCTACAGGTTACGGAGCGAATAAAGCAGCTTCTTTGGATCATGCTCTTCGAGCTAGGGATCTGTTCCCAGGGAGAGTCAGCACACACCACCGCTTGTCTGTCTGCCTCACCCTTGCTAGGTGCACAGTCTCCTTGGCCCCTTCAGCCCTCGGGGGCCTGCTGGGCTGGTCGTTTTGAAGCTGGACACGGCTGTCTTACTAGGAACTGCTCAAGGCTTTGTTTAAATCAGGCTGCTAGCTGGGTCTAGCTGTACTTGTGCAAACCCCTCGTGCAGATGGGCTGCAATGGTGTAAGCCGTGACTCGCACCAGCATGGACAAGTCTGATTCTGCTGTTCTTGGTCTGGAAAGTTTCTGGGAGGGGAGTGGGGTCTAGTGGTTAGAGGGGGGGGCTGGGAGCCAGGACTCCTGGCTTCTTTCCCCAGCTCTGGGAAGGGAGTGGGGTCTAGTGGCTAGAGCGGGGAGGCCAGGAGTCAGGACTCCTGGGTTCTGTTCCCCCCTCCCAGCTTGGGGAAGGGAGCGGGGTCTAGTGAATAGAGCAGCTGGGGATAGGAAGGTCTGGGAGTCAGGACTCCTGGGTTCCCTTTCCAGCCCTGCCTGTCTTTATTAAAAGTGCCCGATTAACGAGGCCTTTCCCCACCATGTGTCTGTGCTGTCATGACGCATTCTGGCCCCCAGAGGGGGGTATCGGCTTCTTCTACAGATGCATGAACTCAAACCCTTTCTCCTTTGCTAGTGCTGTGGGGTGACTGGACTGGGGGGCAGGCCAGGGTCACTGGTGGGGCAGGCCATGGTTTGGGGGCTTGGGCCTGTGATGCCGGCACCCTTCCCCAGCACTAAATCCCCCTTAGAAGTTAACTGGGGGGGCAGGGCAGCGTTTTGACCTAAGGACACTGATCCTGTTAATCCCCCACCCCAGGCCCTAATCCTATTGGAGCTCGTTAAATCGCCCTGGCCCCTTCCCGTCTGCGCTGGCTCTGGCAGCTGCAGCCTGGGGAAGGGGCAGCCTTCCTGGCCCCATGCCCCCTGCCACTCTGCCCTCCCTGGAGCCCTCCCACCATCCCTGCTACCCGTCCTGTTATTAGCATGGCCATTTTCACCGTCGAAGGTAACTTGATCCCAGTCTACCAGGGGACAAATATTTAATCCTGGGCTCTTCAGTCTAGCAGGGAAAGGTCTAATGTGATCCAGGGGCTAGGAATTGAAGAGGGACAAATTCGGACTGGAAATAAAGGGGTAAATTTTCAACAGTGCAAGTATTTCACCCCGGAGCAATTTCCCCAGAGTGGTGATGGATTCTCCAGCCCTGGTCACTTTCAACTCAAGATGTGATGTTTTATTAAGATCTCAAATTCATTCAGGGCAGTTCTCTGGCCTGTGCTCTCCAGGGGGCTGGAGGAAATGGTCTCTGCATCCATGGCTCTCTGGATGAACCCCGTGACTATGATAAGCAGGGGGGGTCTCTTCTGGCTCTACGCTGTGAATCGCTGTGCTTGTGATGGGCACTTACCACGTCCGCCATCCTCCCCATCCCGGTTGCGTGGAGTCCAGCCTTGCCTGGCGGGCAAAGCAGACCCCTCCTCTGCACAGACACGTTTCACTCCACGACCAAAGCTGGTTGTGACCCATGTGCTGGATTTCACAGTTCGAACAAGGATGGTAGATGCTGTTCTGGGATAAAGCGTATGCCTCCACTGCGGTTCTGTGGGGGGTGAGATGTGGGAGGGCGTGCTGCATAAGTGTGTGTGTGGGGGACGCTGGCATGTTGTGGGCTTGTTAGGGGTTCTTGTTGGCAGCAGCAGGAATAGTGGGCCCTGGGGGATTTGCAGGGATATGGGGAGACCTGGAGGGGCGCTGCAGGTATTTGGGGGTATCAGGAATAGCAGGGGATAGGAAGTATTGGGAGGAGGGGTGAATGGTGGGGGGCTGCAATGGGAGCATGGCAGAGATAGGTAGGGGTGGGGGAGGAGGGCGAGCATTATGGAGCAGAGGGATTGAGGAGACTGCCTTGGGGGAGGAAGCCATAAATGGGGGGCAGCGTGCATTGGGGAGGGGCTAAATGGGCAGGTGCACAGGATGCATTGGGGAGGAGTTGAATGGGGTGCCTTGGGGAGGGGGTGGAGGAGTGTGCAGGGTGTATTGGGGCTGGATGAAGGACATGGCCAGGGGGCTGGAGGAGTGCGATGGGGCGGGGCATTGGGGGAGGTGCAAATGGGAGTGGGCAGTGAGGACTGGGGAGGGGATTAATGGGGGGTGCATTGGTGGATGGGATGGGGGGATTGCACAGAGTGCATGGGGAGGGGTGTGTGGGAGTGGTCAGAGAGCACTGGGGCGGGGATTGATTAGCAGGGTGGAGGGTGCATTGGGGAGGGGCTGGGGTTTGCACAGGGTAAACTGGGGAGGGGTAAACAGTGGGGTAGGCAGAGAACACTGGGGAGGAGGGGCATTGGGGGAGCAGGTTAGTGGGGGTGCATTGGGGAGGGGGAGTTGCACAGGGTGCTCATTGGCAGGAGTCGATGGGGTGCATTGAGGCGAGGGTGCATTGGGGGAGAGGGTTCATGGGGGAGCACTGGGTTCAGTTGTGAGGGGGGGGTGTTGAATGACCATTTGGGGAGGGGATGGCATTGAACAGGATGAATTGGCGGGGGGCTTTTTGGGGGAGGGGATGGGTTTGCATTGGAGGTGAGGCTAGTGGGGGTGAACTGGGGAGTTTATTGGGGGAGAGGGTGAATTGGGGAAGGGGCGAGTGGGGTCAATTGGGTTCACATGAAGGAGTTGCAGGACCATTGGGGAGGGGATGGGGGTTGCACAGGGTGCATTGAGGGGTTATTGGTGGAAGGGATGGGGTTGCACTGGAGGTGAGGTTAGTGGGGATGTACTGGGGTCACATCAGGGAGTTAAGGACTATTGGGGAGGGGAGGGGGGCTGCAGGGCGTGCACTGGGGGGGTGTTATTAGGGGCAGGGTGTACTAGGTTCAGCAGGGGGTGGGGAGGGGGGTTGAAGGACCATTGGGAACTTTACCAGAACCAACAGCTCCCCTCTCCTGGGTCTATTTAAGGTAGGCAACCCAGGCTCAGCCAGGAGCCAGCCAATCAGCTGCTTCAATTGTCCCCTGGGAGGCAGGAGGAGTGAGAGCCACACCCACCTTGGGGTGGGTGGAGCTGTCACTGGCCCGCCCCATGGACGAAATGGATGAACCAATGGCTAGGTGCGGGAGGTGTGGTCATGCAGATTAAACTCAGTGTATGAGCAAATGGCAGCATCCATGGGCGTGACTGTGCAAATAAGCATGTGTAAATGAACCACTGGCTGGGAAGGGGAGGTGGTCATGCAATTAAAACAAGGGGGGTGGAGCCAAGGATTAAATTTAGGGGCGTGGCTATATAAATAAAACAGGGCAGGGGCGATAGCAGGCGAGCCAATGGGTTGGCTGAGGGCGTGACTATGCAGATAAGGCAGGACGAGAGACTCAATGGGCTACAATGAGGTGGGGGGGCTATGCAAATTTAGCAGGGTCGGGCAACCAATGGGTTGATCTGAAGGCGTAGTTATGCAGATAAAACAGTGCGGGGGAACCAATTGATCGGGTCAAGGGCGTGGCTATGCAGAGGAGGCAGGGCAGAGAAGCCGATGGCTTGCGTACGTGTGGGGGTGTCTAAACAGATGAGGCCGGGCAGGCGAGCCAATGGCTGTGCTGGGGGGGTGTCTATGCAGATGAGGCCTGGCAGGCGAGCCAATGGCTGTGCTGGGGGGGTGTCTATGCAGATGAGGCCTGGCAGGCGAGCCAATGGCTGTGCTGGGAGGGTGTCTATGCAGATGAGGCCGGGCAGGCGAGCCAATGGCTGTGCTGGGGGTGGTGGTTATGCAGATGAGGCGGTGACAGCGCGGAGCTGCCGCCGGCGGAGCGGGTCGGCTGCGCTGGCCGGGGCCGCAGGGGCAGCCGCGGGAGCCCAGCCGGGGGGATGATCCGGGCGTTCTCCTTCCCCGTGAGCCCGGAGCGGGGCCGGCTCCGGGGCTGGTTGGAGGGGAGCCTGGCCGGGCTCTGCGAGCTCCATCTGCTGCGGGAGCGGCAGGAGCGCCGGGTGCGGCAGGCGCTGCGCCTCGGGACCGAGCCCGCCGAGCAGGCGGCGGCCGGGGAGACCGAGCCGGGCAGCGCTGCGGAGCCGGCCCCCGAGGAGCAGCTGGTGAGTCCCGGCCGGGGCCCCGAGCGCCTGGGGACGGGTCCGGAGAGCGGGGGCGGCGGGGCCGGGACTCGTTGGGCACAGTGGGGCTAATTCCGGGGGGCTGTGCCCGGCCTCCCCATAGCTGCTTCGGTGTATGGGGCTGTTCTGGGGAGCCCCAGCTGTGCGGTGGGGGGGCTGTTTTGCGGGGGTGCGAGGAGCCCCGCGGTGGGGGTGTGTGTGTGTTTGGGGCTGTTACGGGTTGCGTGGACAGCCCCTTGCTGTGCGGTGGAGGGGGGGGGGTAAATGGGGCTGGTGTGGGGGCAGCCCCCCGCTGTGTGGGGTGAATGGGGCTGTTATGGGGTGTGGGGGGCACACCAAGCTGTGCAGTGGGGGGGGGGTGTATAGGGCTGTTATGAGGGTGTGGGGGGACCCCCAGCTGTTCAGTGGGGGGTGTACAGGGCTGTTATGGGGGCATGGGGGGGGGTCTATGGGGCTGTTCTGAGTGGTTGTGGGGGGAGCCCCTAGCTGTGTATTGTGGAGGTCTCTGGGGGTGTTGGAGCCCCTAGCGCTGCAGTTTTAGAGTTTCCTGGGGCAGGTGAGCAGGAGGCTTCCCCTCCCCTTCCTTTGTGTATTTAACTTTCATTGAAACATCTCAGACCCCCGGCCTCTGGGAGCCCCTGGGCCCGGCCTGTTGCCTGACTCAAGTTGATGGCACCACCATGTCCGAGGTTACATTGTCCTCTGCCCTGTGGTTGGACTCTGTTGATCTGAGAGCGTTTTCTCTATGGCACTGTGGTTAGAGCAGGGGGCCTGGGAGCCAGGACTCCTGGGTTCTATCCCTAACTTTGGGAGGGGAGTGGGGTCAGTGGTTAGAGCAGGAGATTGGGAGTCAGGCCTCAAGGGCTCTGTTCCCAACAGGAGCAACCCAGGGCCAGCCTTTCTTCCTGATTTGGATGGGCTTGCAGTTTAAGAACTGCTTTTGAAACCCGGTAAGCAACAAAGTAGTGAATTATTGCGTGACCGTGAGGCGTTAGTTGGTAGATCTTCCACTATGTATAATAGAAACTGGGCTTTTAGTGTCGGGGTTTTCCTGAGAGCTAGAGAAAGGAGGATATTCCTGATACCTCTGGATAAACTCCAGGGGAAAAAGGGGGGGCATGTGAAATTGCGAAGCGATAAACTGAAAGTAGAAGAACATTAATTCTCTCCTGCAGGGGTGCTGGAACAATTTTTATAGTGGGGGTGCCGAGAGCTATTGAACTCAACTGTAAACCCTATATATGATGAAAACCACTTCAAGTCAGGGCGTGTGGCAGGACCCCCAGCACCTCTAGTTCCAACACCTATGTTCTCCTGAGCAGCACAAAATTAACTTGTGGAATTCCCTGCCACAGGATGTTACCAATGCACAGTGCTTGGGGAGGAGTTGGAAAAAAGTTAAGATTGTTTTTAATACAAAAACTCACCCTCATGCTTCAGAGCTGATCACTGGCTGATGGTCAGGAAGGCACCCAATCCGAGTGCATAGTTAAGTCCATCCTCCAGGCCATCCAGGAGAGAATGACAGGTTTCAGAGTAACAGCCGTGTTAGTTAGGAGAGAATGTGGCTCTAGACTGGCCCATTGGTCTGCTCTGGTGCAGCAAGGAAGGGGGTGGTGGGGACACTGCACTCAACAGACCATTGATCATTTCTGCTTTGGCATCTTCAGAAACAGAATTCAGTCTGCACTCAGCCCCAATGCTAATGCGGGGGAAGGGCTGTCTTGCCATTGACAAATTAGACTAAGCACCTATTGTCTTCTCCTCCACGTGCGGGTGGAAGGGAAAGATCCTGCAGGCCGTGTGGGTGTGCTGGCATAAGGCAGCTAGAGGGAGGCCGGAGATGGCAGGTGAGGTGTCCCTCTGAGGTCTGACTGGTCTTTAGTCCTGCCATAGCTGGGGCGCCAACTGGGGATCGGGGGGTCCCATTGTGCTGAGCACTATGCGGACAAGCCATAGAGAGTCCCTGCCCCAAAGACCTTACAGTGCAGGGCCGGATCCCGAGCTGGGGTAAATTGGGTGTAACTCCATTGGAGTCAGTGGGGCCAGATCCCCAGCTGGCGTACATCAAGCTTTGCTCACTGACTTCATTGTAGTACTATGGAAAGTCCTCTGGGGCGCAGGGTGTCTGTCTGTCTGTCAGTCAGAGCTTGTCAGCTCCTCTGGTGCAATCCTCCCCCATCTCATCCTCAGCCCGCTCAGAGGGGAAAGCAGGTGGGGTGGGAGTCAAAAGGATGGGGGGGGTGTCATTCACAAAACATGCAATTGTCCGGTCATCGTTGAAAGTGGCAGGTTCCTCCATCACCCCAACATCACTGTGCCGGACTCAGCTAGGACTTCGGTTGTGTGGCGAGATCCCTTGCAGTGGTGTCTTAGCCAGGGAGGGGCTGGGGTTGTGGTGAGCTTCCTCAGTGCAGTGTCCTAGCTGGGAAGGGGTCAGCGGTGTGGTGAGCATCCTCACGGTGGTGTCCTGCCTCTCAGAGCTCAGCCTGTAGCTGTGAGTGCTGGGTGGGGCAGGTCTCTCTCTGGCCTGAGGAGACCATATCTGGGGGAGAGGAATGGGGCAGGCTGCCTTTCCCTGGTGTATGGGGCAGGTGTCATAGAATCATACAATATCGGGGTTGGAAGGGACCTCAGGAGGTATCTAGTCCAACCCCCTGCTCAAAGCAGGACTGATCCCCAATTAAATCATCCCAGCCAAGACTTTGTCAAGCCTGACCTTAAAAACCTCTAAGGAAGGAGATTCCACCACCTCCCTAGGTAACGCATTCCAGTGCTTCACCCCCCTCCTAGTGAAAAAGTTTTTCCTAATATCCAACCTAAACCTCCCCCACTGCAACTTGAGACCATTACTCCTCGTTCTGTCATCAGCTACCACTGAGAACAGTCTAGATCCATCCTCTTTGGAACCCCCTTTCAGATAGGGTCTGTCCCACCTCTGAGCTGGCTCTAACCTAAGACCCTGCAGTACCAAACCAAACTATCCTCAGCGACATCTGGAGTGGGGTCGGGGGAAGTTGTGTGGGTCTTGTCACTTTGTGTAATAAGCTGCTCACAAGCCCTGGGCAAAGGTGTCTGTTGGGCATGTGGAACCAGCTTATCTCTTGGAAAGTGACTGCTAAGGCTATTCTCACTGGAGTCCTTCCCTGGGTGCATCTCTGCCCCTTCCTGTCTCAGCAGGACGGACAGATGGACGACATTGTTGTCCTGTGCTCCAGACTGCTGCCCATGCCGGGGGAGTTAGAGTAGTCAAGGTCATGCTCCAGGGCAACAGCTGGTCCCTGGAGCAGGGTCAGGAAGGGGATTCCTCACCTGCCCCTGCAGTGCATTCAGCCAGGAGGATGGTTGATTCTGAAGCGTTGGATGTTGACTGGTGCTGGTGGCAGGGTGCTGGGCTGACGTGATGTAGCAAATATCTTCGTCTCCATCCCCATGCTCTAGTGTTGCTTAGCGTTGCTGCAGCAGGGGCAGCTACAGGACTTGAGTGGCTTGGTGAGCTTCCTCCTAGTAGTGACCTGGGTGGATTCTACATATAGGGGAAATAGAGGCACAGCACAGACAGATCACCCAGCAAATCTGTGTCAGAGCCAGGAAGAGAACCCAGGATTCGAGGCACCAAATGCTTCTGCTGTAACCACTAAACCCCACTCCCTTCTCAGAGCTGGGGGTAGAACCCAGGAGTCCTGGCTCTCAGGCCCTGCTGCTCTAACCACCAGACCCCACTCCCTTCTCAGACCTGGGGGTAGAACTCAGGAGTCCTGACTCCCAGCCCCCCTGTTATAACCACTAGATCCCACTCCCCTCCCAGAGCTGGGGTAGAACCCAGGAGTCCTGATTTTCCCCTCCCTCTTGCAAGGTGCTTTGTATTTTCAGTGCCCTAGATGTGCTATCTTGCTGATTTCACTGCTTGGCCTGTGCAGCCATCTCTGACCAGGTATCGCTTGGACCCCTAAAAGTCTTGTTCTGGAGGCTGGCATTACTGGTCCCTTCTGCTGCTGCCAGGGCTATGGGGTTCCTGCCTGGCCTGGTACATCACAGCTGCCCATCCCGCCCCCCCTTTCAGCTCCAGCTTTGCCAGCTATTTACTGATTTAATAAAAAGATTTTGCTCTTTCTCTGCCCCCCCTTAATTAAATCGACTTCACGTTTGCGGATCCGCTGTCAAAAAGCCTGGCAGCGTCTTCCAGCAGGGGATTAATGGGGCGAGCAGCCAGCAGCCAATGAGAGGCGCCTGCTTTGCATAGTGATGAGATTCTCTGGTAGGGCGGGGGTGAGCTGGTCTGGAAGCTGTTCCTTGGACCTTGCGTTGAGGAAAGGCGGCGGGGAGTGGGTGGGTGCGGCCCCGGGGACGAGGCTGCAGTCAGATCAGGATGCTGAGCGCTGGGTGAATTCTTCCCACCGTTGACACAAGCTGCATGCCTTGGTGCTGATAACGCCGCTCCAGCGGTGGGATAATGGGCCGACGAGTCCTCCTGTCACCCCAAGACTGTCTGGGCTCCGGTGGGGCGGGGAGGGGGAATGAGTCAGCCAGAGAACAGGCTGCCTGGACTTCTGTGTCCTCCTTACACCTCTCCACCCCTCCCATCTTGACTGTATGTCAGTGGCGTGGTGAGCTGCCTCCGAGCAGTGCCAGCTAGACCCCAAGGCCAGGGCAAAGCAATCCAGAGTGTTGGCGCAACCTCACATGGGGCACTTCCTTGGCCCCGCCCCTGTGCCATGACTCCGCCCCCTCTTGTGTTGGGCAGGGGTCACGCATTCAACCATCCTATTTCTCTCCCCCCATTTCTTTGGTCTTTATCTTCTGGCTGGGCTGGGGTCCCTTCCCGAGATGGGGAGGCTCCTTTCTCCCTCAGAGAAAATTGGGAGTTTTTTCAATTAAATGTCCCCCCCATTCCCCCCCCCACACTGGGAAACGTCAGTGCGTCGAAACCCAAATATTTTGGTGGGAAAGTTTTTTGTTGTTGTTTTGTTTTGACAAATTTC